GATTAAGAAAATGTAGTATCTATACACAATGGAATTTTATGCAGCCATGAAGAAGAACGAAATGTTATCATTCGCTGGTAAATGGATGGAATTGGAGAACATCATTCTGAGTGAGGTTAGCCTGGCCCAAAAGACCAAAAATCGTATGTTCTCCCTCATATTGGACATTAGACCAAGGGAAAACACAACAAGGGGATTGGACTGTGAGCACATGACAAAAGCGAGAGCACACAAGGAAGGGGTGAGGATAGGTAAGACACCTAAAAAACTAGCTAGCATTTGTTGCCCTTAATGCAGAGAAACTAAAGCAGATACCTTAAAGCAACTGAGGCCAATAGGAAAAGGGGAACAGGTACTAGTGAAAAGGTTAGATCAAAAAGAATTAACCTAGAAGGTAACACCCACGCACAGGAAATCAATGTGAGTCAACTCCCTGTATAGCTATCCTTATCTCAACCAGCAAAAACCCTTGTTCCTTTCTTATTACTGCTTATACTCTCTCTACATCAAAATTAGAAATAAGGGCAAAATAGTTTCTGCTGGGTATTGAGGGGGGGGAGAGGGAGGGGGCGGAGTGGGTGGTAAGGGAGGGGTTCGGGGCAGGGAGGAGAAATGAACCAAGCTTTTATGCACATATGAACAATAAAAGAAAAAGGAAAAAAAAAAGACCACATGCTTAGCAAGCATTGACCTGAGTTCAAATTCCAGTGCATTAAAAAAAAAAAAAAAAGGGAAGATCCTAGTACTTGTAGATCCTCCCTGTAACCTAGTTAATAGGAAGACTGACATCAGGATGACATTCAAAATCATCCTTGAAAAACTGTTTACCAGATCCCATTTACAAAACAAGTAGAGCAAAGTAGACTGCATATATGGTTCAAGTGGTTGAGAGCTGTTCTGTAAAGGCATAATGGTGACTTCATACCTCAGTCCCCAAAAGTTACACAAGTAACAGGGTCACAAGACCATGATGATCATAGGGGAACACCGTTCTTGCCATCTCCATGTCTGTCCACTCCCAATTTATTTGTTCTCCTGCTTTCATCTCTGAGAATTCCCTTTCTGCCTTGAGATGCCTACATACCTTGCTTTTGGGGCTTTCCCCATAGACTAATTCTCTTCCATTCACGGTCTAAGTTAATCAGCATTTCATTATAAAACAGTATTAGATAAAGAAACTGTAGAAATCAGCAGTTAAGTCACGAAGAGCAAAGTGTCAGCATCACTCGCAAGCCAAACACGTGCACATGTGGATTTGCATTTACGATGAAACTGGAAATTTGCGGGATTCAAGGAAATTTAAGGACGGATTAGCAGCACCGAGAAGCACTGCATTGAGGGGACAGTGCATAGAGTTTAGTGCAAGCTTCCCTTGAACCTGATGGATTCAAAGGGAAGTCATGTCCCAGTGAGAATTTATGGGGACACGGCACAGGAGCGCCCTGTTCTGCCACAAACAACACACTCAGGAGGCTCCCCAGCCACCTCAGTCTGTGGAACAGGAATTTGCAGATTAGTTTCCCAGCAGGGCAGTAGACTAAGATGAAGTCACCTCAAAGTGACACAGAAATGCTCAAGGCTCCCAGTCCACCGCCACCCTCCAGTCGCCCACAGACCAATGGCCCCGACCACGTGATCAGGGAGCAGACTCCAGAACAGAAAAGGCCCAGTCAAAATCACCACTGCTCCTGGATGCAACAGTCCCTCCACCCAGCACTGCAGATGCCCAGCCACGCTCTCACCATTTCCCGCTTCTTATGCGTCCAGGTGACCTCCCTATGTTCCTGCAGTCAGAAGATTTCACAAACCTGCTGGAACTCTGTAGCCTGAGAAATGGCAGCAGGTTTGTGGTAAATATGGCGATATTGAGGAAGGCAACATGAATCGCCTGTCCCTCCTCATTGGACAGGTGGTGACTTCTGAACCTACCATGTACCTCTTATCATATTCACTGTGACCTTCTTGCATACGCTTCCTAAAAATAGAACAACAGGTGTACAGAATTCTAGTTCAATATTCCTTGGAGAAAATTCATCATGTCTGTTAAGGAGGGGAGACACAGGTAGGCTAGGACATAGGAAGTTGATGTAGGGCTGATGGTCAAACTCTGGAAACTGGAATGAAGCAGATTGCCATGGATTTCTCATATCTAATTTTTCAACATAATAATTTGCATGCAAGAAAATAAAAACACATTGCCAAATAAAGTAATTTACTTATTTCAAGTATGAACCCCCACCTCCAAAAGACCCAGATAAAATAGACTGGAGATATGGTTCAAGCAGTTGAGCACCTGCTCTGTACATGTTAAACTATAAGTTCAAACTTCAGTTCCCCAAAATAAAACTAGGAAACAAACAAGACCAAGATGATCACAGGAGAAAACTGATTTTGCCAAAACTCCATGTCTGTCAATACCCAAATTCTTTCTTCTTCCGTTTTCTCCTCTATTTCAGAGTAAACCACCTTTCCTTCTTAAAATCACAATCTAAGTTAATCAGCATTTCATTATAGAAAAATGTTCTAGAAACTACCTGAGGAAAATTAATAGTTATGTCAGGAATGGCAAAAAGCATCCTGGCCACTCAGATGCCAAACATGGGCACATGTGGATCAGCATTTCCAAACAATCTGACAATGTGCAGAATTTGTGGAAATTTAGGGACTTATTGGCAGCACTAAGAAGCACTGGATTTTGGACATAGATCAGAGAATTTAGCTCATGCTTCCCTTGACCCTGAAGGTCTCGAAGGGAAGACAGGTCACAGTAAGGAGTTACAGGGACACTGCAAATGAAGGCCTTGGCCCAGCACAAACTGCATAAATACATGGTGGCATCCCCAGCCACCTCAGTCAGCCAGATAGGGATTTGCAGGCAGAAACTCCCAGCAGAGCTGTGAGCTGGGATGAAGTTGCCTCACAGAGACCTAGGACTGGGTTAAATTCCCCCAGTCCACCACCTTCCTAAGGTGGCAGAGGACCTAAGACCCTAACAGTGTGAACAGAGCATGTTTTGTGGAACCCACAAGACAGGGCCCAGTCAAAACCACCTCTGCTTCTGGTTCCAACAGCCCCTCCACCCAGCATGGCAGATGCCCAGTCACTCTCTCAGCATTTCCCTCTTGTGATGCTTCCAGGTGACCTCCTTATGGTCATGCAGTCAGAAGATTTCACACAGCTACTGGAGCTGAGAAACCTGACAATTCTCCAGCAGACACATGACAAATATGGCAATAATGTGGTAGGCAACCTAGACCTCCTACCACTGTGTCCAAAATAGCTAAGATTACAGGTGGGAGCCACCAGACCCTGTCTCAAGTTCCCATTTCATTGTGCTTTCCTTGCATTACACTTAGTTTTCATCCTTAGTATATCAAATATATTCTTTACTATATTTTAATTTGTTATGTTCTTTCACTTTGCAATATATCTTTTCAGTTTATGTTAACGCAATTTTTGTGTGTGTGTGTATGTGTGTGTGTGTATTACTTTGGTTTTAGCTGAAGACTTTGTAATTGCTAGGAAATCTGTCCAGTGGTGAACTATACCCCTATGTATGTTTTATTTTTAGACAAAATATCAGTAAATAATCCTGACTGGCATCAAATTGATAATCTTTGTGCAACATCCTCCCCAGTGACTGGGATTTAAACTGTGTAGCAACACAATTGCATATTTTGTCTACATTTTTGTGATTCTGATATTTGAACTTTGGTCTAGCACTTCCTCAGCAGGCACATCAAAGGCCTGCAGTATACTTTCAAATAACATTATACAGGGTCAGTATCAATGCAGGTATCATGAAATGCTGCAGTGTCTTCCCTTCCATACCATATTCAGTTGCTCTCATTCATCATTTCCCTCTCAGCAACTGTAAGTACCCAGTACTTACATTTATATAGGATAGCAAATGTGAATAATTGAATTGAGACTGGAGGCATGGCTCAAGTGTTAGAACATGTGCCTCACATGTTAGAATCCCTAACTTTAATCCCCAACATGACCAAGGGAAAGAAAGGATTTGGTGTATCTTAACTTAATTCTTTTCAGTACTCTTTTTTTCTGGGATCTTTATTTCTAACCACATTTTCCTTATCCCCAAAAACTCATTGCAATTTTTGCAATACTAGTGCACATGTGATACAGTCTGTAAATAATATTCAATTTTCATTCTCTCTTTCAGAATGAATAATGCCAATTGCTGTAGGAAGAGGTGTGCAACCATACAGAGCTGCCAAAACAGAAGATTCTCAATATCCAAGTTATCTCTTAAATGTGAGGAGGAGGTGTGGCTGAAGAAGTACAGCTCCAGCTTTACAATTCAAAGTCATGAGGTGAAAACCCTATTCCACAAAAAAATGTCTAATACATCTTTTTTGGTATCATTAAAGAGATGCTGAAAATTATCAATTATAAGAAGATTTTCTAAAGGATGGCAAAAATGAAGTGCCTGTAATCACATTTTCAGACACACTGCAAAAAAAGGGAGTTCATTTTTGTAAACTTTGATAATCAAGACAACAAGGATAAAATTGTCATTCACAAATATCATAGTATGTGCAGATTTGTGGTGGCTCATGCCTGTCAAATCATCTACTCAGGAGAAAAATACTGGTAGGATCATGGTTTGAGACTAATCTGGGCAAAAAGTTAATGCAACATCATCTCAGACAATAATTCTGTATGGTGGTATTTGCAAATAATTCCACCTACAAGGGAGATATCTGTGGAAGGATTATAGTATAAGGCAGATATAGTCAAAGTGGGAGGCCCTACATGAAAAATAACTAACATAGCACTAAATAACTTGGGAGCCTGGCTTCAGCTCCAAAAGTCCATGTCCATGGTCAAAAATGTGTGACAGAGCCTGTCAGGACAGAGCAAACCAGGGAAGGATATTGTCCTTGAGACCTTGTCACAGACTTCAGTTACTGGTGGGCAGTTGGGTGAGTGCAGTGGAGTGGACATTCGGGGAGGAGTAGAGGATTGCCTGGAAGAACCTCAGAGTTTTCCATGCTTGACACAGTGCTCCAGGTTAGTCAGTGAGCAAGGGGTTCAATCAGCTGTATTTCTGAGCAGTTTGTTAATAAAGTTCCATCCTTGTCCTATGAAAAAACATAAAGAAAAACAAAGAAATATGGATTCTATTCTCTATATCATCGAAAATTGCATTTTGAAATTGGCAAAACAACAAAACAAGACAACAAAAAGACCACATCTACTGTGTTCAATATTAGGGCTACTAAACACAAACAAAATGTAATCAAAACACAAATCCTGTTTGATACTAGACAAAATAAAATGATTTTTGCCATTCAAACATTTTAGAAACAATACAATAAATGAGCAAATATCCAAAAAGATCAAGTGATAAATTCATACACCATTAAATTTAACTAACTAAATTTCATTTCATCCAATTATTCATAAAAGAATTTTTCCAAATTCAAAATAAAATTTAAGAAACTTGCATGCTAAGGCATCATTTCATCATTAAAATACTACAGGAAAAGAGCACAAAAAATTCCTGACTGCTTAAGTGAACTGCAATTTCAAAGGAAAAAGGTGCTAAAAAAGAAACAAAAGGGAAGATGCTAAAGGATGCAGACTGTTGAGCTGACACTACATGAGGAGAAAGTTGTACATTTTTAACCTTAGAGACCATGGTCTCTGTGGAGATACAGCCTATGGTGGCTCACTTCGAGGAAGGGAGTAAGAGGAACCTACAAAAGGAGGAAATTTCACTCATGAACCTCCACACAATTTTCCCCAATTACAGGATGAAATGGCTTACAATGACAATGGCTAATGTGGAAAGGTGTCAAACTCTCATCCAAAGCCAATTCAATATTCAGAGCTGTGCTGCACTTCCTTGCATTGCAAAACTCAAATGAATTACCCAATACCAATTGGCATCCCATGTTTTAATTCTGAGGACAGTCTGGAATGCAGAGCTGTAGACAATGAATAAGTTTAGCACTGAGTCCCAAGACACTGGCAGTATGGTAGGTTCCAATCCCACATCTGTCTGCTCTGTATGGTCACCATTCCCCAATTTTTTGGCACTGGGGTTTGAATCCAGCACATCACACTTGCTAGGTAGGTGCTGTATCATGGGAGCCACTCCAAAATCCCTTCCTTATGTCCAGGATTTTTGAGATAGTTTCTTGTAAATACTTTGGTTAGGAAGGCTAATTTTCCCAGGGCTGGCTTCAAACCATAATCCTCCTGATCTCTACTCTCTAGATAGGATTGCAGGAGTGAGTCACTAGTGCCAAGCACCATTTCCTATCTTGAAGATATCTGGTGATGGCACTGTGCAACATCTTACTGGTACCATAAAGACACTACCTAAAAAAGACCAAGAACAAACAACCAAATATGCTCCTATTGCTCAGGACATTGTGAGTTTTACTAACTCCATAGCAGAAACTGGGACCAAGACAAACACAAATGAACTCTGAAATTAATAAGTCATTTTATCCAGCAGGCACATCCCAAAATCTTCTTTTTCCACAGTCCAAGATAGGAATTCTCAATTGTCACAAACTACATTGTGACTAGACTAATGACCTGACTGTAAATGCAAACAATTGAAAATTTACCCAGGATTACCCAAGTAATCCTTGTGAACACTGGTGATTAAAGACCACCACCCAACCATTTTCCCTATTCTCATTATACTTAGATGTCCTTCCCTTTTAAATCTTCAACAAGGCAAGAATATAAACTTTCAATTTCCACACTTCATACCTCAAAAATAATAGCTTAATTGATCACAAGAAACTGAACACTCATTGAGCAAACTGCCCTGAGTGTTCTCTGCTTACTCCAGGTCTGGGATCTCTGACCATGTCCACTAAGAACCAGCAAATGACACCTCCTTTACTGACACTCTAAGGACTGGCTGGCCTCAAAGAAAGATGTTGTGCTATAGGAGCAGATGTCCTTCCATCATCCTTCATCTCTGACCTTCTTTCTCCTCCTGTTTGCTCCTCCCTATAAAACATAGACCTGCTCTGCTTCATTCTTAAGATCCTGCAAGTCTTGCAGTTGCTGCTGCCCCAACAAAATGACCTCCTTTCACTGGGTTCATGTCCTACCTTAATCTGCATTTCATTTGGGAAAATACTGTCTACACATAGGCCAAGTCAACATCAATTATGTCAGAGAAAGCAACAGTCTCAAACCCTAAACACCTCACCAAATATGCCTCACCTTCAACACAATATGCATATGAAGTCCCTTTTCAGTGAGTTGTGCAAGGCAGGGATAACTATAAATTTACAGATTTATTTTAGTCATTAAAAGTAATTGGTTGTGGTACCGGCCACAGAATTGAGACTTCAAATATTTATATTACTCACACTTTCAAACATTTATATCACTCAGGTCAATCCAATGTATCTAGAGTGTTTGGAGCATGAAACCAAGGACCACAGATCATGCTGCACAGGAACCCATGACCTTCTGCCATCTCCATAGTCTGTAGAGGCATGAGCTCTAATGCAGAGCTCCCTGAGAGTGTTGTGGGTCTGGGACAGGTCAAAAGTAGGTAGCTGATAGAATGATTGGCTTAAACCCATCCACTGAGTCCCAACCATGGAAAAGAGAAGACCATGTGACAAATGACACCAATAGTGACTTGGTCTGCAAGGGCAGGGCTGTGGTGGAGAGGACCAGGTCCAACACAGCCACTAAGGCCATGGTCAAATCCCTGATCCTGCCCAGTGTGGGGAAGAAGGTCAGAAACTCATCCTTTCCTGCTCTTGGGGTACCCAGTTCTGGCACATCACCAGCACCAGAAGCAATGCACAGTGAGAAATTGAGTCACAGAAGTGGATCTCAGAAGCACAGAGTGATCCAGAAAATTTATTTTCTGTGGTAAACAATGGGGTCTTTTTCTGATGGTCTCTGATTGGTCATTGCTTACAGTTTCCTCCTTGCAGCACATCTCCTTGGCTTCTGATACAGGACCATTAATGTTAAAAGGGATACATTTCCTGGCACAGTGCCGGGACCAAATACCTTTTTCCAGCTATAGCCTTTATCAGGCTAGGCCTCCTTTCTGATCCTTACCCAGGCCAGCCTGGGTATTCATTGTATTTAAGCAGAATATTCTCTCAACTTTTCATGGTGGAAACAGCTTCTTCCATTTGGAAATTGGGTCAGCAGTCTGTGGACATTATTTCACAATCAATGTCCAAGCATATACCCCCTGATCTGACAAGAAAGAGCACTAGGTACACCAGAGCAAACACTTTTCCTATTCCACTTTCATGTTCCACCCAACATTTACAACTTCTGACCTGCTCCCCTATCTTCACAAAGGTTCATGATTTTGCCCCAACAATGGTTACCAGAATTAATCAGTGCAAACAAACCAAAACTAACCCAAGTGGTTCATTTGAAGGTGGTGGTACTGGTACTTGAACTCAAGTCCTCACACCTGCTCAGCTGGCACTCTACCACTTAAGTCACTCCACAAGCCCTCCCGATATCTTTGAACTCTTGTTTTCTCCTTCATTTAAAAGCCTGCATACCTTACTTTTGGGGAAATTCCCTAGTATTATACATAAACATAAATCATGTCCTCCATTAATCATGGTGTCATTATAAAATGAGAAACAGTCTGAGAACAGTAACAGATATGTGTGAGTGGGGACAAAGGCCCACTTCCCCTGCAAGAGCAACCATGTATGCATGTAGTCACTCATTTCCAATAGTTCCGGCAATGTAGTGGATACACAGACATTCAGGCATTAGTGGCAGCATTGAGAATACAGGGCCTCAGATGACAGTTTCTTGATTTAAGTCCTGTTTTTCTCTGAACCTGGAAGTTCCAGAAACTCACCTTAGAGAAAGAGCAGAGAGTGTACACTGCATTGCAATGCTCCTTCCCAACATAAACTAAATAAACAAGCACAAGGAATACCCTGCCAACACCACACAGAATGGGATCCTCATGTTTGGAGTGGAGGTGTTCAAAAAAGACTGGACTAGAATGAATCATTTCATAGGGACAGTTCAGAGATTTCAGAGAGTTCATGACTCCCTGCCTGCCCTGCAGGATTTCATGGTCCAACAACTGAGTTGGGCATCAAAAGTGGGACCAAGTGATCCATTGGGAACATGACTGTGGCCCTTTTTGCCAAAATGCAGGGCCAGGACATGCTGTCACCATTTGCAGCTGCTGCTGCAGTCACATGTCCTCAAAGGTTTTGCACTCAGTGTTAATCACTCAGCTGCATAACTGGTTGTTCTGAGAAGACTCTCATCAGTGGACACTGAGACACATGGCACATAGCTTGATGTCCCATTGTGCATCATGGACCATTGACACTGGCACTCACTATTGGTACACACAGGGTAGAAACTGGCTATCCGATTGGCTAATGACTTAGGGCAAGAACCTCAAGGCACTAGAAACATGATCAGTATGCTATTCCTGCCTGTGCTGATCTATAGGATAGTACCCTTCAATAGCCAATGCTCAGGCTTCCTCATTTATAGAAATTTCTCATGACCCCCCCCAGAATAGTCACCTTCTTTGAGTTATACATCTGTGCCCTTAATGTTTATTCCTCCTGAAAATGGGGGAATTGTACTCAGGGAATTCAATATACAGAGTCACATGGAGATTTCATAACATCAGAGAAGGAGGGGTAACAAAGTCAGACAAGGATACAGCTGGTAGTGTCAAGCAACAGGAATTTGGGTGGAGGCAAACAGACAATACTTATTCATACTTATTTATTCCGTATTTTCAGGCATGAAACTGAAAGTGCACTTGCAACAGATTTACATTATTTAATGTATAGAGAAGGTAGTGTTATATGGAAGCAAATTATACAAAGGAATGAAGAACAATGAAAAGCAACCTTTGAACTAGCTCATACAAAGAGGCTTCATTGCACAAGGCCACAAGGGAAATCCATGTTCCCATGTTTTGACACAGCTCCAAGGGTGATTAGCACACTGAGCACTGAAAAGTAGCCCTGCAAGTCATGAGTTCCCATAGATGATCAAAGCAACATGAGGCTAGAACTGAGAGCCCATCTCCTATTGACAGATCTCTAGGCTTGAATAACTTATATTCTTCATAT